ATCATCATGTATCATCATCATTTATCATCATCATGTATTGATCATCATGTATCATCATGTATCATCATCATGTATCATCATCATGTATCATTATCGCCACATATTAACTCTTACACCCATTAAGGATTGGGCAGAGATTTTCGAACACCAACAGGCTCCCAAGGTAAATACTTACATATAATCTCAAACTTGTACTTTCCAGGATCATTAGGATCAAGGGGAAACCTAATGACTTCATTGCCTGCTAACGGCACAATACCCAGGGGAGATTTGGGTTCCTGAGGATAATAAAAAAAAAAAAAATTTATTTTATTTTACAAAATTTGCAAAGAAAAATATACGATTATGTACATGTCTGGTAGAGACTTCCCACAGAGCAAGGCTTCAATAACAGGGTCCCATTAGCTATAGCTATATATCAATATTATGGTTGAAATAAACACATCTAAAAGAAACCTAATTGAGGCTCCGCCAAAACCATGAAGTCATCAGAATTMTTCTTCTTCTTCTTGGGAACCTCTCAATTGTGAATTTTCGACCAAAATATTGCAGTGTGACATGCAAAAATATGACCAGTGACGTTTGTATGTTAAAGTTAGTTTTACCAAATAAGGTGTGTAAAAGCTCATTTGGCTGCAAAAAGCCCATGGATTTACAGTATGCARGTCATACATTATTAAATGTAGTTATGTACTTTTATGCATTGTAAAAGGTGGCATGCAAAAGCTCATTTGGCTGTGAAAAGCCTTTTAGATGCATAAAAGTATGCAAATCATACGTCATTATTAAATGTGGTTTAATGTACTTCCTTGTAATTCACTGTAAAAGTTGGGACATAACGTAAAGGTAATATGAAGCACATAAATGTTACTGATAAGTCATAACCCTAATTGGCTTTCAAAATATTGTTTCGTGGCTTACTTTGCAGTAAAACATAGTGCTGCTACAAAATTGGCCCATATTTCCCATACTTCTTAACATATCATAGTTGATTTTTAATAATAATGTAGAACAATATTGCGCACCTTTCTATCCTTGTAGTAATAGAGTTGATCACCTTTTATCTCAAACCATCGTGTTCTAACTGTTCTAAATCCACCACCTTGTTTACGCAGCCAACCACTATATACCTAAATCAAGAGCCAAAACAACTTAAAAATGGCTTAACCATAGCAGTCTTTGTACTAACAATACTAATAAAACTTCATTAAGCACTTAAATTTGGATAGATCTCATTATAAAGAGGTTAGTACACTGCTAGTTATGTATTACAGTCGCTTTCACTCATAAAATTATCCGGCTGTAATACACAGCAATAGSAGTGTAATATATAGTTTATTGTACAACACGAAAAACTAATAAAAAGTGCATGAAAAACAACCATTTTTATTGTAAGCAAGTGAACTCAAAAGTAAAGAACTCAAACCACTGACTCTAGTTGCACAAAGGAAAATGAAAAAATTTCCTCACCCTGAGATCAGCAAAAGAAAAAACACTCAAAACTGGTTCACAGACAGTGCATACCGCTTTGTAATTGCACTTGAAATATTGTCGTAATACGTAGGAAACTGATTTTTCTACATTAAAGCTGTGTAGCTCWGAGAATACTGTATACATGAATATTAAAATCGTGTAGAAAACAAAACAAATTAGGTTACTTTTGCATTTTACTTTCGATAAACAATAAAATGAAAGATCGATTCGGGGTATAAATCATAAAAACTGTTTGGAATAATTCACAGATTACAATAAACTTCATATAGAAGAACTAGTATTAAAGTCTTACAATGTAGGGGGATACGAATACTACACTRTAATTGCACAGAATCAGTACATCAAAGCTTGTAAAAACAAATTTCCCTCTTAAGCGCCAATTTTGACACAAATATCAACGTGACAGAAAGACCTTTCACTTACAATATCCATCGGTATGTCGTGCTGAAGGGAGAATAACATTCGAGAATTGAAATGATTTTTTCAAATGAATTTTGCCTCTAGTATGGCATTTAAACTCCAAACCCAGCTTAYACTACGTGCTATGCATAGGCTCTGAAACCCTTTCAGTCCAGTCTAGGAGGTTGCTGCTATTTTATACAGGGGAGGACGGAAATMTAAATATGAATGGCTAAGCTGAAGCTTATGCCCGAGTTGCTTTCAATATATCCCCTGCATGTCACTACACGTCAAGGGATTTTCAAACACTTCATTGACTCTCTTACCACTTTTTGTTTGGTTCTTGGTGGAGSTATTGGAGCCTTCTGCATACTGATAACTAACACTAACACTCTTAAGAGTGTTTGAGGTGGTTTTAACTGCTGTTTTTACACACTTTGCTTCGTTCTTCCTCTCGCCATGTTGTTTTTATGGGAGGAGACACCTCAAGGTCAAAGGACCTGGGTGCTAGGCCAAATTTCGTAGGGGTGGGGAGAGACGGGGACTGTATGTAATATAATGCTTTTTCGGTTACGAGTTTTTAGCGTTTTTTTGGACAGATGAAAAAATAGAAAAGGGTGCTATTTTTTTCCTCATAAAGCCATCGCCGTTAGACAATCAGAACGGCACGATTAGTACAAGTCCACCAACTTCATGTTTATCATGCTAAATAGATTGAAACCAGTGAATCAAATACAAGAACGCATTTTATTTTTACACCATTAAATAATACCATTTAAATACACTTGGTCTTAAGGCGATATGAAACATATAAGGGGCAGAAAAGGCAAAAGCAACTACATAACATGAGAGACCATTCACTACTTAAGGGGTGGAGGAAGGTGAGTTGCGATACATAGACTGACTATTAGCGCTCCTTATCCCTATTTGCAAAGTTAAAAATTAAGGTGTTAATTTTGCTTGGATATGTTTCTTCAAGCAATGTTTTCAATTGTKCAAGAAATGTTTTTTCCGAGAAAATTTGCTTGAAGAAACGTATTCACATCTTTAAGTTAAAAATACTAGTAGCTGGAAATCCTCAAGTTTGGAGTCTAAATGATTGCGCATGACACGATCTTCTTCTGTAGATTACTACCCCTTAAGTGAAGGGCTTCAATAAATGATATAAAGTACTTAAAATTTACTTCATAAAGATTTAACTGCAAATATCTTGTGAAATATAACTGGTGAACATCGTTATATATTTAACTAAATTGTTTATAAATTTCCATCGACTATAGTGTCCTCTTATTGATCGTYATTTACGGTGGCCGAGAGGCGGACATAAAAAAAGTCGTAGTAAAAAATGCCAAAAGTTCAAAAGTCAAAGTGGTTTAGGTTTAGTTTGACAAAATGTCGGAGGCTTAAGGGAGAAACGTCACTTGAGTGAATTGTCTTTCATGACAAAATGCGGGACGCACAAAACTTCAAAAGCGAAAGTGTTTTGTGACAAAGTCGCTTGAGACCAAATGTCAAAATGTCTCGTGACAAAATGACTCAAGACAAAAAGGAAATTGATCAAAAAGACAAACTSACTTTRTAATATGGCCCTAAAACACTTTGACTTTTGAACTTTTGACTTTTTTTACTTCGACATTTTCATGTCCATTCTCGGCCACCGTAGGATCATAGATGACGTCTTAACATGTTCAAAACTCAAGTGTAACCACGAGCTCAGCAAGTGGTTCTACTGTAAAGTTTTGAATGTGAAACTTTGTGCAGAATTTTTGCTTAAATACTCAATCGTGATTGGCTAACTTGTATGAAAATAAAATGTAATTACAGTGGAGAGTTTGTTTTTACAAATATATTCAAACATTCGTTAGAATTTTTTAAAAAAACGTCACAATAAGTGACTTATAAATAAAAAAAAGCATTACATGTGCAAGATTTCATACATCCTCACTTCGTTTGGTAAATACTAAAAAAAACACAATTGCAATATGAAGATTTTGTCGGATTGCGAAAAACAACGTTCGGTGGTGCATGTACGACGTCAAATAACCGCTGCCCGACCAAACAGAATGCTTAGGCGCCACAGTGTTATGATCACGTCAAAATAGTGATGGTGTCCTCTTAAGATAGTGTTAAAACATTGTTCAACCAATCAGAATCTAGGACATGACGCACCTCTGAGACACCACAGAACATCACCTTTTCACATGAAACAAAATCTTATTTAATTACGCACTCATTCTTAAAACTTTGGAATCCTGCCAAAGCCGTGTCCAAACGTTTGGTCACYCTTCAGTTTACGAGTTTTCGTTAACCATTTGTGCAGACACCAGACCAGAATAGATACCATTGAGTGCAATAAGCTCTTGGTGYGTGCCTTGCTCGGCCACGTGACCATGGTGAATTACTGCTATCTTGTCTGCATTTTTGACAGTGGACAGTCTGTGAGCTATCACGATGACTGTCCTTCCTTCGCTTGCTGCGTCAAGAGCATCTTGGACAACCTGATCAATATATAAACAGTCAATAAAAAGCAACAGAAAGCATGGGTGAATCGTGCTGTAAAGCGCTGCCTCTCGACACTGTAGTGGTGGCCCTCATTGGACCCCACCGTGCATCATAATAAAGGCGCGATTACAAGCAGCAAGTCATTTCTCTGCAACTTGTCTCGCAACAGCATTGCGACACAAGTTGCAAGAGTGTCTAGCTACACGGTGCAACGCGAAAGRCGCTAACGTTATCCGACTTTCCTTTGTCTGCAAAACCCATTTTCTAGATTTCATAGAAGTCGAAATTCTTGGTTCTGTTCCATGCYGTGACCATGCCACGCGGGTTATTTTCATTGGCTAAGGAATGATCTCGCGCGCCGCAATGTGATTTCGTTCAACAGATGCCATCACTTTATTGTGACTACGTATTGTGACTACGCCGTGTGCAATAACTCTCCACACTCATTCGAAGTCGACTCGTATGCGCTATAATATCATTAGAAATTACACTGTACCCTTTCACTTTCAGTGTCAAGAGCTGATGTTGCCTCGTCCAGAAGCAGGATTTGTGGATTTCTGATGAGAGCTCTGGCGATAGCAATTCTTTGTTTTTGTCCTCCTGAGATTAATGTACCTTTGTCTCCTACCAGTGTATCGTAACCCTGGAAAAACACGAAAGCAAAACAAAATTAAGCAACCATCTTTGTGCTTGGTCATCATACATTGACCATGGCAACGTTAACATCTCGCACTCTACTATGGAAACAGATACATTGACCATGGCAACGTTAACATCTGGCGCGCTACTATGGAAACACATACATTGACCATGGCAACGTTAACATCTGGTGCGCTACTATGGAAACAGATACATTGACCATGGCAACGTTAACATCTCGCGCGCTACTATGGAAACGCATAAATTGACCACGGCAACGTTAACATCTCGCGCGCTTCTATGGAAACAGATACATTGACCATGGCAACAGATTTATCTACCATGGTAACCAACRATTTCTAGGGTGCATCGCTGCATGTGACGTCATAGCCACCATTTTGATTGACTTTGAAAAAAATTTATTTATTTATTCGGGCAAAGCCTAGGAGGACATAAGGGGAGCCAGTACAGGTCTTATTTAAAGTGACCCCCCCGTCCACACTCACACACACACATACTAAATATTCAATACTACTGTATCCAACTCACTGATTTTTTACGAAGGAAAACCATTGTGGCAAGGTAGGGAACAACTGCACGTCAAACAAACTCTATTTAACTGCAGGGCTCGAACCAGCGACCCGATCCTTTATATCCACAGTGTTGTCTTTTGTTATGAGCATGCGGTACTTGTGACAGCGCTCGCGCAACTCAGYCTGTGTGAGACAGACAGACAAAGAGAGAGAGAGAGAGAGGGAGGGGGAGGGGAGTTCACAGTACCTTGGGCAATGAGTTGATAAAGCTATGGATGTTAGATGATTTTGCTGCTGCTTCAATCTCCTCCATACTGACTTCACGGCTGTTGTCTCCATATGCGATATTCTCAGCAATACTGAAGCCAAAYAGGACAGGTTCCTGCGACACGATACCCATCTTGGAGCGTAACCATTTGATGTTCAGGGTCTGTACATCAGTACCATCTAAGGCCTGGAAAATGACAGTAATAATAACATGTACTCATCTCTTCCTTAGATTGTCTTACTTCTGCTGAAATGCCGAAACAGAACCCATCTTATATTCCATTAATTCATCCATCCAATCGTTTATCCATCCATTCATTTATYTATTCATTCAATTATGCAATTGTGCACGAAGCGATTTCTGCTGCAACTAATTCACTGTTAGTATCTCATACTAGTTACGATTTTCAGACACCACCCAACTCGCCTCAAAAGGTGTATCACCCTTACGTGTAAATTCGCCCCTAGTTTCGATATTCTGCGAACATTTCGACGACTTGTTGTGAAATTATTTTTTTACTACCCCAAGTCAAGAACATAAAAAGTTACGACTGATTAGCTTTGAATGACGGCAGCGAAATTCCAAATTTCAGCGTGCAGCTCACTAACGAGTTCGCAGAATATKAACCAATATAAACTCACCACTTCACCATCGTCTGCGTCATAGAATCTTTCCAATAAAGAAACCACAGTACTCTTTCCGCACCCACTGGATCCCACAAGGGCAACAGTTTGACCTGTCTTGACTTCAAGATTGAGTCCTCGTAACACTCTAACATCTGGACGAGTTGGATAGCGGAAACGCACACTGCGGAATTGAACCGTGCCTTGGACTGTTGCCTTGAAATATAACAACATGAATGAGTCTTGGGTTGAGTTGTGAGAGATGACAGGAAATAGCAAAAGAAATCGAGGTAAAAGACTCAAGAAATTCATCTAATATTATGCTCTTGCTGTTGTATCACAGCGTGGGACAATCACAACAAAASTAGGCTTCAAACTAGGTGATGAAAGCCCWTGAATGCTTCCCACGCTTAGAAGGTACCATGAGTAAGCAAGTGAAGTATAGGCAAACATGTACTTACTGGGGTTAGACCAAGATCTGAAGAGCTGTTAATAAGTGGAACACGATCAAAAAGTTTGAAGAGTCTTGCTGCAGCAATTTTAGCCTTGACGTAATCAGGGGAGAATCCAGACGCCTGACCAAACATCATACCCATGATTACGATACACATCACGACCCTATAATGATTCAAAATGACAAGTATCAGAGACAAGTTACAAGATCTTGTGGTGTTTGGGTGAGCATTGCGTGACGACCGACACTAAAAACGGATGCGAGGGAGACTAGGGTGGCTTGCGCTGCTATGGTCCCCTACGCAGCCGCAATAAGTGTCGTCACGCAATGCTCACTTATAGTAAGCGTTGCGTGACGACACTGATAGCGGCTRTGTAGTAGACTAACAACTGCTACGTCGCTGTCTCATCGCTGCTTAGTTCACGCCTGGGGACACGGATTCGATTCCTGACTGARCCACATATGAGAGTTGAGTTTTTTTGGTGTATGGTTTTCTCCCTTGCCACAACGAGTATTTTTAGACTGACCTACCACAGGTAGCCCAGTTATTGACTTACTTCATAACTTCCATCATAGTCATTTCGTYACGGACCATCAAGAACGCACCAAATCTAAATGATGCAGCATTACAGAAGAACATAATGGATTCCATTAGACCGTACGATAGACCATAGAGATGAGCACTGCGGACGGCTTTCCTGTTCAAAATACAAGTGAATACTAAATTTACCATGTGTTTGACTCTCACTTGTCTAGGGCCGAAAATAGACCACGTTTGATGTCTTAATAACTATCATGAATCTCGCTCTCTGATTGGTTGGGAGCGCGTGCTTTATGAGAACACACAGCACACGCGCGCACTTTCAGCGGCGTTATTCCTATCTAAAATAACGGTTTTTGTARTTTGTATTTTATAAAAGAAATAAAAAACTTGCTTGTTGTGCTGTGTGGCGTTATAAAGCACTTGGGAATTGCATAAATCCTTATCCAGTGGATAAGTCGATGCTGTTATCCAATATATTTATCTACTGGATAAGATTTATCCGTCGGATAGCACTRTCCAGGCTTCGCGGTACAACCATAGTTAATAATAATTAACTGTTTCTTAAGATGAATAATATCACAGTACTTACTTAAATGGTGGTAACAAAGTGCGGTGGAACGTTTCACAGAAAGTTTTCTCTTTTCCAAGAGTGGCTATGGTTCGAATATTTTCAAATGCTTCTACAGCAACCTGCAAAAATGTTGATAAATGAAATTGGCAYTATAAGAGCAAGAAAGYAAGCAAGTAAGCAAGCAAGCAAGCAAGCAAGGGACAGGGCATAAAGGAAGGATGGAAGGAAGGATAGGCAGGCAGAGGAGTGAAGGACCCAGGGCATAAAGGAAGGATGGAAGGAAGGAAAGGCACGCAGAAGAGTGAAGGACAGGGCATAAAGGAAGGATGGAAGGCAGGATAGGCAGGCAGAGGAGTGAAGGTCCCAGGGCATAAAGGAAGGATGGAGGGAAGGATAGGCAGGCAGAGGAGTGAAGGTCCCAGGGCATAAAGGAAGGATGGAAGGAAGGATAGGCACGCAGAAGAGTGAAGGACAGGGCATAAAGGTAGGATAGGCACGCAGAAGAGTGAAGGACAGGGCATAAAGGAAGGATAGGCAGGCAGAGGAGTGAAGGACAGGGCAAGGCAAAGCAAGGAATCTACCATTTAAATCATAAAATTGTTTACCTTTCCTGATTCCAGCAGCTCATCCTTGTCCTTAGTATCACCWACAAARGTTTTAATCTGCAGCGCACCAGCAATAGCAATGAAAGGTATGAACGCAAGAACCAACAGTGTCAACTTCCATCCGTTAAAAAAGGCATAGACTAAAGATGATATAATGGTGGTGATTGTCATGGCTATTGTGCCAAGTCTTGTACCTGTAGCCTGTATAGATAAATGATGACCATGAATAATGAAATAATGGGATGAATGGGAATAATAAAAACGAAAGTGAAACGAGATATCTAAATGGAAGGAAAAGKGAATGAGCGGTGAAGAAATTAATTTAAAGTAAGTCATAAAGCATATTTCACTCACCCCTTTGACGTCAGATGCATGGGTTGCAAGGGCCGTTGTCAAGGCACCAGTAGAGTGACATGGGTCATCAAAAAAAGCCATTTCCTGTAGGGTGGGGTGGGGTAAGAATGTCAAATTATTTTCATGTTATAAACACTTTTTACTCAGTTCTTTATTAATAGTGGGCTATGTATTATTTGCTTATCCACAGAAACAGGAAAGATATATTAATAAATTTCAAGCATCTTTCTCTGACTGAGTGATTAGACAGAGATTCAAAAAGCAACTATGTTCACGGAGAAAACAGGATGTAAAGGTTGGAAGACAATGATTTAATTTACTGTTTTCACCTGTCTCAGAAGAGCCTTAAATGCCATGTCTCTTAGCCTGACTGTCAGCAACTCTCCAGAATATGCAAACATGTAATTCTGTAATTAAATGATGAGGATAAATCAAACGATGAGGATGAATGATCAGCATATTAATGTGTGGATTGAATCAAAATTTAAAATGTTGGGCAAAGTTGATGGTCCTCACAGATACAAATTAAAATTTATTGTGTGAGTTTTGTCATGGGAAGAAAACTGGAGAACCCAGAGAAAAACCTTCAAATCAAGGGAGAGACCTAACAAACTCTACTCACTTGTAATGCAGACCCTAGAGGTGACAGGACACTACACTATGGGTGCAACTATGGGTGATCTGATCAGGGCTCCAACTTGACAAACTCCTGTTCAATTAAGCTATTCTATCAACTAGAACTGTCAGAGCCAATCCAGGGGGTGGGTGAGAGGGAATGAGAATTGATAATTTCTATTTGTTCTTTTTTTTCTTTTTTCTTTTCTTTTTTTTGGTTTGGTTTGGCATCTTTTTCAGATGGATGCCCCTTGAATGCAGATCCCTCTCTTTAAGAAAATCCTCAAATCACCCGATCCACCCTTGGGTATTCAACTAACCTGGAACAGCTGGGTGAAGAAAGTAACGGCTCCAAAAACTAAGAACATCATGGACCAGAAAAAAGCCTTATCTTCAAGTTCTTGTGTATCTTGAATGGTGAATACCTGTAAAGATAAGAGACCCATGTATGACCAAAAAAATATTATTTTGGATTGTTTAATAAAAAATATTAAGAAAAGGCACTATATATATATTATGTTAAATGTGCCAGGTATACTTCTCGGAAAATTTCAAAAATACTTCTAAAAGATACCCAAAGTATTTTAAAAAGAGCATTGTTGGACAATTTTAAACCCCTAAGAGATACCCTAAAAGATACCAATATATGCTGAAATTAAACCTAAACACGCTAAACGATTATTACCAAATCATCGATTCTTACCCCTAAGAGATACAACAAGCATACCCGATACATTAACCAGATACCAGAATGAAACGGATTAGACCATTTGTATTGTCTGTGGTACTACACTGTATCATAAAGCTTTGGTGCTTCCGCACTTTGATTATTGCAGTGTCTTTTGGGGTAATTGTGGCAAAACCTTATCGGATAAACTACAAAAACTGTTATGTGGAAWAGTTTACCAAACAATGTACGACAGGCAACTGTTAATGTACTGAATTATTGGTACATTTAAAACACAGCATTCATGGAAAGCAGGTTTTTAATTTGCTTATTTATTTTTTTAATTTATTTATTTCATTACTTATTTATTTTATATAATATTTTTTATTCTATCTTGTATATGTTATTTATTCCAATATTTTGCAGTTTAATCCTGATGAATTTTACAACGTATAAATAAAGTTATCCTAACCTATCTGTTAATTCTTCAGTGTACTTACGTTTAGGATTTCGCCCAGAATCAAGGCAAACACCATTGGAAGAAATCCATTTCCTATAGCACCAATAGTCCCGACAAGCATGTAAGGCCATTCTGYGGCATTCATTTTCATGATTCGTAATGCTGGTGCAGGTTCAACTTTTTCTTCAACTATTTTGCCTTTTTTCGTTGAACTAACCTAAAAACAAAAACAAAAATAGAAAATAGAAATAATTCATGCAACGTTTGTGGGGGAGGGATTTTTAGAACAGTCCCTAAGGACGTCTGCAAAGGAGACTAGTAACTAGTAACTGTTGGTAATACATCGGCAACAATGACTCTGAAACTCGCAATGTAGCGATTTTACATGACATGTTTCATGGCACGGTCTGTTGTATACAGATCTTTAATTAAATGGTATTTATCATGATACTCCAGTTAGTGTAGTAAATAGTTTGAAAGCTTTAGAACAATCATTTTTATAGAATTTGTTTAGAAAGGCCACCTAYGATTTCACCACTGTTAGTTACAATTCCACTCCCCCTTGCTAATACCAACAAGAGAGACTGTGCTGGCTTTCATAAGAGAAAAGAATGTAAAACATACATGGCTGTCCTGGCAAGATAAAGCAGAGCCAGGGCGGTGTTTTGATAGTCTTCGTGATGCTCGTCTCGACAGCTGTCTTTCAAGTTTGTTTGGTTCATGATCACTTCCATTTGACATGCTTCTCACAAACTTAACAGCAGCTTCAGTTTCTAAGTTTCATGACAATAAATGATAACATAATTGTAGAGTAAGAAACACAAAAAATCACTTAGTTGCTAGCCTGCAAAGCAGGCATTCTTGTAGTTTTGTGGAAAAAACCGGGGTGTTGGGGAACTTTGGAACGAGCAAGAATTGAAACCAAGCAAAATGGAAGCATTCCCTTTTTACTAGGTCCCATTTTTCTCGCAGGCACATAATTGAAACAGGAACCCCAAAACCCAGATTCTTCCTCAAACCCATCAAAAGAATGTCTGCTTTGCAGGCTGCTTAATAGCAAAACCACTGTTGGGTTAAAAAAACAGAGAACATAGAAACTGAGACCAAAATGGTAATTTATGGGAAGTATTCTAATTAGATGTATCTTATGGAAACATGTTTATAAATTGTCCACTGACATAAAGCAGGGAATACCAATCCTTTCCATTTAAAATTCTACCTATACTTGTAAGTGACTATCAGCTATGAGTCAAATGGTGCATTGAGGTGTTCTATTCTTTGATGAAAGTAGCGCAAAATGATATCTCTATGTTCGCTGAAAAACAACTGATACTAGGACTGTCTCATCAACTACAGTACAACGATCCTTTAAGTGTGTTCCCTGAGATCACCTGGTTTGTCTTAATGAAAAACAATTTTGTATGATGGTGGTGATGATGGTCGTGATGGTTTTGATGATGACAGTGAAGATGATGACAGTGAAGATGATGATGATGATAATGATGACAATGATGGAGAATATTTTATGTCATTTACCTTTTTCTTCAATGCTTTCTACTATATCATCTTCTTCACCATTGTCATCACTCTCAAAGGTCTACATTACAAGTTTGAAGCATTAGTATGTTGAACACTCCAGATGACGTAAAAAAACGTTTTAACTCCTTGCATAATGATGAAAATGATATATGACAGTAGCTTTAGCTTACCTGTAAAGTAACTAGTTGCTTGTAAACTCCATCAACCTCCATCAGCTCACTATGTGTACCCAATTCTGCAACCACACCATCTTGGAAAGCAGCAATTTGGTCAGCACTTCTGACAGTCGACAGCCTATGGGCTATAACAATGGTGGTGCGTCCTTGACGAGCCTGCATTTGGAGGACAACAACAAGACACAAGTAGTATTAGTCAGAGCAATAATTAGACTGATCAATGAATTTTTAAAATTTAAGGGGTTCTTCCATGAGGTTCGCTTCACAACCACTACCACTATATTCACAACACTATATTTACAACAAATAAAATACCAAACTCACATGTTGATTTTTACGGAGGGGAAAAACTGGTGGACCAAAAGAAAAACCCTCATGGCAAAGGAGAGAACAACACATCAAATAAACTGAACTAGTATCATCGATCATCCAGTCCGAGCTGGGTCACAAACTTGGACCACAGTGGTGAGAGAAAGGCGGTAAACCACTATGACACTATGCCACCCATCCCAGTATGGTGCTTTTCCTTGAGGTTTGCTCCACACTCACTATCACTACTTTCATTATTTACAAGATAAAACAATAAATTCACATGTAGATTTTTACGGAGGGAAAAAGCCGGTGGATCCAGAGAAAAATGCTCAACAAAACCACTGTTGTGAGAGGCAGGAAGTGAATGGACAGAAATGAAAATCCTACCTTATCCAAGGCAGACTGAACTATAGATTCACTCTCTGTATCCAAAGCTGATGTTGCTTCATCTAGAAGAAGTATTTTGGGGTTACGAACTAAAGCACGGGCGATGGCTATACGTTGTTTTTGACCACCACTTAGCTGTGCACCACGTTCACCAACAAGAGTTTCATAACCCTGCATGACAGAAGAATGTAAGTTGACATTATGATATCTAAAGTGAAAATAGTGCTAATAGTCCCATTAAGATTTCCCTGTGCCGAACTGTACCTGAATAGTCATTGAAGTGAGAAAGTGGTAACCATGTAATGATGGAGACCTCTTTAACACCTTGGACAATTTTTCATGTCTCTATCATTGCAAAGTCATCACTGTTCTTGCTTTGATGCATAGGCATGGTTGCATGCATTTGAAGATGGCACAGTGAACTGAGAAGTGAACTATTTTTTAGCTGACTACTAATGAAAGATCCTCAAAACCACAATAAATGATGACGTAATGAAGTACTTGATTAAGCTATTATTGAAACCAATGCACCCCGTAACCTCCCTATTCTCCTGCTCCATTTTAGGAATTTTAAAATGTGTTGTTACAAAGTTAAGTGCGAAATGAAATGCTGTATATATGACCCATGTAGATGACGGCCTTTTCTACCAAAGAATAACTTTTTCTTGCTTGCTTCGTCTGGTTTAAATAACTATTTTTTGCTTGCTTTGTCTAATTTAATTTTTGGTTTAATTTTTTAACAGACCATCCTTAGGACATTATGACCAAGGGTTGCTGGAGACAATAAGCAAATGAGACCCCTCGTAGCTCTAATTCCATTACGTGTTTTTAACAAGCTCCAAAATTTCCTGACCTGTGGCAGATTTTGTATGAAGTCATGAGCGTTAGCCATCTTTGTAGCACTTTCAATATCTTGTTGACTGACGCCATCTTGTCCATAACGGATGTTTTCAGCTATGGTTGTAGCAAACAGAACAGGTTCCTGGCTGACCACTCCAATGTGCTGCCTCAACCAACTCAAATTCAGTGTTTTAATATCTTTATTATCCAACAGCACCTGAATGGAATACAGAAATATCAAGTTATTTTTGATACAAAATCTGGGACTCAGAATTGTCATGAAATTTGCACCATCACGTAATTGAAGCCATGGAAGGAGGCACAACAATAGAGTCATTTTTCCCTTGGACTGCCACCATCATGTGATGGTGTAAAGCCTCTATAATTTATGAATCAAAACTTTTGCATCAGGATATGTGGAGTCACCATAAAGCCTCTCTAGTCTCCTCTTTAAGACTGCATATGACACACTCCACACTCTCTTAAACTAATTATTATTTTCCACACATACCGTTCCACTTTCTGGGTCGTAGAATCGTTGAACAAGCTTGACAGTCGTGCTCTTGCCACATCCACTTTCTCCTACCAGGGCAACTGTCTGCCCTCTACTCACACTGAGATTAAGGCCATTTAAAACCTATAATACAAAGATTGCATTTGATTATTAACCTTTTTCTGTTCTTTCATGTTTGTTCAACAAAGAAAATAAATAAAAGATTGAGTTATGTTATGGAACTGAATAGTGAATTGTAAACCCTAAAGGGTTTAAATAGGAAATATCTTTAACCCAAAAAGGACTGCCAACATCAACCCTGACACTTGGACAAATTGGAAGCAAAATATAAGGTTGATTACCCATCTTACCAATATTATGACCAACTAAATTGAGCATTTAAATTGAGCAAATTACTTTGATCTGTGTAATTACAAACTTAGAGTAAGTCAACAAAATGCACAGAAAGGGCACAGGGTAGTATCCACAAGTTCGCCAAGGGCAGATTGATTTAATTCCTTGACAATTTGCATTATCTACCTTGACATCAGTTCGTGATGGGTAAACAAAATGAATATCTTTAAATTCAATTTCACCATCAACGTCATCTGGCTTTTCTCCATCGTCTGAGCTGACGTCAATGGGTGGTTCTCTCTCAATGATGGCAAACAGTTCGTATGCTGCTCCTCGGGCTGTTGCTATGGCTTCCATGTTGGGTCCTGCCTGACCAAGCTGCGTAGCACCAACCAGAACTGAGAAGAAAACCTAAAAAATACAAAAGAATCAAAAGAAATGCAAGTTACTGCATAATATTGCTCCATACAACCATCTAAATATTGTTATTATTATTATTATTATTATTATTATACAGCATCTCATTAATCACATATAGGTAACTGTCCAATTATTTTCTTAATTGGACAGGTCTTGTTGATATGGAATTAATTAGGCAGCTATATAATTAATAGGTAATGGGATTTCATGCTCCCCAATCAAGAAATAATTAGACTTGAAAAATTCCTCTGACCGCCAAATTGGACTCGGCCTACGGCCTCATCCAATTTGTCAGTCCTCGGAATTTTCCTCGTCCAATTATTTCTTAATTGGACAGCATGGAGTCCTATTACATATACTTATTATTATTATTATTATCATTATTATTATTATTATTATTAAATTGGTAACTAGTTGTCTCGGATTTCTTGAGATGTACTTTCTAGACATTTTGGTAGAGATACTACGACCTTCATTGGCAGGATGATGGCTAATGCAAATTGCAGTCCTACAGTTTTAATAAACGTTTGTATACCATAAGGAGATGGATGTGTTCATCAATTGAATATTCATCGTGTATAGAGTATCTTCAACTGTATACAGAATATTATGCTTCCAAGAGAACTAGTAGATCTGAGAAAAGATATTAGCCAGTCAGAGTCAAGAAAATTAACAAAACTGAGTTGTAACATTTCCTCGTGAAAATATGGATTCCTAGGCCACCAAGAGAACAAAAATGACTTTGCTAAGAAGCGCTCGATAACAATGACACAATGATTAATGAGATTTTTATTTATGGGCAGTAGATTTTCATTTACTTGCTGGTCAATTTTTGCTGGCTCATAAAAATAATAACATTTAGAAAAAAACATATAGAGTGCAAACTTTATATCCATGAAATAATACTAGCTAGTTAGTGCAAAATAGCACCAATGAAACAATTGAAAACAAAAGATGTAACAGATCTGTTAAGCCAGGGCTGTCAACTCTCCCAGATGAAGCGGGAGTCTCCAGATTTTGGACCATATCTCCCGGTCTCCAGATTAGTCTCGACTTTCACAACCATAATTAAAATTCCAATTATTTTGTGTTGTTTGTGTTATTTTACATCGCTAACAAAATCAAAACGTTCCTCATAAACTGTTCTTGCAAGCAGGCCATTGTAATGTAGAGATTGTGAATTTCATACAGAAATATAGTTGACACGTACACTTTGATGGTGTCAGTCTTCGATGATGACTATCGTAGTTGTAGGTTGAGTCATCGAGTTGAAGTGTGTGTGAAGTTAAGTGTGTTTTATACAGCAATAAAGAAAGCTTTATATCAAACAACGAGTAATCTTCTACAGTAATATAAGCTATAATCTGATTTGTCAGAAATAAACCAATCACATCAAATATTACAAAGCGAAAGACGTATTTTCGCTCGCTTTTTGACGCACTGTGACGTCATGTCCCTTCCCTATCAATTCTCCAGATTTGAATATCCTGGGGGTTGACAGCCCTGCAAGCACTATTTAGTTTTTGTGCTATTTCACAGATATATGGTCTGCACTTACTAATATCTAGTTTTTTAATGATAAGGCAAAAGGTCATTACCACTAGAAGGTCTCCTCCATTGATTTCCTCCTTCACAACAAGTGTTGAGCCAAACCTGGAAAACGAATTCATCATACACCATCATTGTTAGTTTATCGATCTTTTACGCATGACATCAGTATTATGGAAAAACGACTTCTGGATCCAAATTAAAAATCAGCTCTATCAAAAAAGGTTTTTTCAAGGATTTGTTGTCCAAGTTCTAATTGTTTCAATTTGGAGTTAAATCATTTAGAACATTTTTGTCTTATTTTAGCAGTTCTTGTAAGCCGTAGTGCCCCTAAATAGGCCACAACTTTAAAGCTCTACTGTATACTGCAGTATTAAAATAATGTATTAATCTGATTGAAGACTAAAAAGATTAGAGATTTTTCAAGATTTGAAATCTGTATGATGGATAGAGGCTCTGACGTCAATACTGTTTTGCGAAGAAGAAAGGGACAATCTCAAAAACTAACAGTACACCAAAGATGTCAAAAACTTACCAAAACGCAAGTGCATAACTCCCAAACATTATTAACTGGAAAAACCCAAAACCAAGCCCTACTGAAAGTCCTTTCTTGATGCCATAAGCACGAGCCTCGCCAAGATTGCCAGCATACCTTTGATTCAATAAAAACATGATGTTAAGAATAACTTTCAATACCAAAGTTGATATCTACTTTTTTTACCTCTTTTGTTCTTTTTCTTCTCCTCCAAAAGCTGCTACCGTCTTGATGGATGACAAGACTTCTTCAGCAATTGCACCTGCCTTGGCATACGCATCTAACTCTTTGCTTGTAAATACTGAAATAACCTACAAACAAAATGAATGAAAGAGGATAATTATAATAACAGGATAAATGACAGACTTCAAGGATTGGATATTATGAAATGGATGGATTGATGGGATAGCATGGGATGGATGGATGGGTAAGTTGGGATGGATGGATGGATGATATATATCATTAAAAACAAACCACCTTTCCCACTAGCAATGATCAGATCATGTTGGATGGAATGGATGGGATAAATGTATGGAAAAAGAATAGGATGGGATGGATGAATGGGAAGGGATGGATTGAATAGATTATTAGGAATATAAGCACCTTTCCCATGATTCCACCAGCGATGATCATAAGAGGAGTTAAAGACAGGATAACAAGTGTCAACTTCCAGCTGTACACAAACCCAATAGCAAAGCCAGCAAAAAAAGTCACAGTAAACTGGATCGCCATTCCCACTTTTGACCCAATTCCTTCTGCCACTTTGTTGATATCCCTAAACATCAAAATAAAAATCAATGAGTACACAACGAAGAAAGAATGGTCAAAAGTATTATGGAATAAGATACACTACTTACTCTGTTAGCCTGCTGTTCAACTCTCCTACATCATAGATATCAAACCAACCTATATCCTGGCGCATAACAGAATTAAAAAATGCAGTGCGCATTTTCTTAGTTTGACGCACAGCCGTCAGAGAAAAAAGTCCAGTATGTAGATATGCCACAATTATTGTTCCAACTGCTAAATATATGTAATAGATGGCTAGCTCTTCCATGACACCTTCAAGATCAGGTTTCTTTGTTGGGATCTCAAAGTTGATTAAATTTTCAACAAGACGACCAAAGATGATAAACTGTACAGGAGTAGCAGCACCATGTGCAATGGCCCCAAATACTGCCAGGAAAATCAGGAATTTGTCTTCTCTGTCTGTATAGTAAAACTATAAAAAAAATTCAAATATATTTGTAGTTGCATTTTTTGTGGGGTTTTTAAATAACAAACTGCACTCAATAACCCCAAGAAAAACCTTTTTGGAATGCACAAATATTTTTTGCAAATATTTACCAGCTTTGTAAAGGGTACCATTTTAGGCTTCTCCTTCTCGTCTTTCTTCTTCTTGCTTTCATCACTATTTCATTAATTATTCATAAGTATGGATTATTTTCTAAAGAACATATTAGATTGAATAATAGATTACTTAACAATATTATAACACAATGTGGATACCATATGGCTATTCAAAAAATTCATGATAATAGTTCGTTTTATCAACCATAAATTTAAATAAATATGGTCCAAGCTTTCGGCCTACTCGGCCATCCTCAGGGAAATGAAAAACGTTACAATTGACAAAGAAAACACAATCAAACCATGGCATATGTGCGCACGCATATAATCAAACAAAATCGCACATGCTTAGAAAAACAAACAAATAAATAAATACTAATAAATAAATAAGTAAATAAATAATAAAAAAACAATTATCAAGCAAGCTAACATAATTTCCTGGTAAAATTCTACCACTATGTCGATTAAATAAGGTGCTCTTATCCTTTGCTATGCTGCAGGCCTCCCACCACTTCCGTTGATTCCATTTCAACTCTTTTGATAGGATTTTTTACACTGTTCCAGTCGATGGAATATATGTCCTGTCTCATTCACATGGACAGCCAAGGCAAATTTGTCCTCTTTTTTGAAGGCAAACTGCCGCCTGATGTTCTTTCTTTCTTGTACCTAGAGATCTGCTAGTTTTGCCAATATACTTGTTGTCACATTCCCCACAGGGGATAGAGTAGTGTAGGCCAAAAGCTCGGATCATATTTATTAAAATTTATGGTTGACAAAAACGAACTATTATGAATTTAACAACAACCAACAAACAACTGTTTGATTTATTCAAATAATGTTGCATGCAGCATAGCGCATAGAGCAATTTATTTTTGTATGACTGTGAAAAGCTCAATTCTGTATGACTGTCTTGCCATGACCGTGATGTATTGTAGAATTGGCAGATTTTTTTTTCACAATGTGATTGATCTGGCAATGATGTAACCTTGACATGACCATGTCAAGATTGAGTACGAGTATGAGTTTTAAAATAATTGGTCCTGTGCAAGTGGTTAACACTAAATCTTAGTCGATTTCCAATTTTTTTACAATCAAATGTTTCACAGGGTTCGTGCAGGAATTCCATGAAAAGATTCAAGGAGTTTTCAAGGAGTTTTTAAGGAACAAAATGACATTTTTCAAGGAGTAAAGTATTGATGAATCTTTGTAACATTTCTTTCTTTCGGTTATCGGTACGTTTTAGTATATTAACCTCAATTTTCTTGGAATAGATACATGCACCCTGAGAAAATGTTACACTGTAACTGCTGCTAAATTGGTTTCTTCTTTAGTAAATACAGTAATTTTAGATTTATCAATATGACTCAGTATAAGTTGTTCTTAAAAACCAGTCTTTGTGAATTATTTCCATGCAATTTTAATTTATGATAGATTTAGCTCGGCCTCTGAATAGGAGATGAATATTTTGGTTGAGTGATTATGCCCAAAGCTATTCAAGACAATGTCCCTGGGAAACGTATATCCCCGGAGCCTCGTTTTTAATTGCTTAGTGAATGATCACTCCACTAAAATATCAAAAGTTGGCTATTGAAGAGGCCTCAATGGCTAGCTTATCGAGACATCTACTAACAAAACATTATAAAAAACTTGATACATATAACAGCGTCAAAATATTACGCTTTAAAGGAAGCCCATCTCAAGCTCCAGGTTGCAGAGAAATTTCTCTCTGGTCCGAGGGACGTAGCAAAAAATTAATCTCTACAAATAACTAAAGCTGGCAGCTTATATATTTTAAACATTTTTCATTGATACTTTTTCAAGGACTTTTATACGTTTTTCCATTTTTCAAAGAGTTTCAAGTGCCCTTGAAAATGCATTTTAAATTCAAGCACTTTTCAAGGAGTTTAAGGACCTGCACCAACCCTGGTTTCAATCTATGTACACGATCAAGACTAGAAAAAGATAGTGCCTCTCTTCAAAAGTTAAAACTCACACTTGTAGTCATTCTCATACTCATCATCCGATCTAAAGGACTCTATTAATTTTTTTGTAACAACCCCTGCACATAATCTTTTGCTGGAGTTTTGTTTACTGAAGGGAGAAATTGAACACTGGATTCGTGCTGAGGTAATCACTTAAAATTCAAGGGCTATTCAGGGAGTATATAAGGACCCAAAAATGAATTTTCAAGGAGTATGTTCAGCTAAATATGCCAAGGTTTTATCAGCACATGTCTGACTTTCAGATTTTCAATCTTTCTAGCTAGGTCTATTTCAGAACCATGCAAGTAATGATCAAAGCAAACATTTAAAGTGTATATGACACGTAACAATTTCATTGTTTAAAATGTGTAGTTTGTTAGTAATAATAAGAATATCGTAATACAATTTGTTTCAAAAGTTTATTTCTTGAGATATTTGAGAAAATTAAGCCCAATTTGTGACGTCATTTTGTTGACACGTAATATAGTTCGGTAGTAATGCACCAAATGTAAAATGTAATTCGTATAAGAGAACAAGAAAAACTGCATATCCTATTCACCTTCATTTGATAGCTTACATAGTACTCTTCAAATGTTGGAAAATTAAACTGAAAAGTGTCTTCCCTGATATTAAGATTCTACAAACATATTTCGTATATTTGCAACTAAATCTGGAGACTTGTAAACAAAATGACGTCACAACTTGTGCTAAATTTTCTTGAATTTCTAGAGAAATACGTTTTTGAAACAAATTTAACCATGATATTCTTATTATTACCAATAAACTACACGTTTTCAACATCAACATTTTTCGTGTCATATACACTTTAAGGAGTTTTCAAGGATTTTTGCTAAAATCGTAAAATTCAAGAGTGCCCTTGAAAATGTGAATTAAATTCAAGGAGTTTAAAAAGTAGCACGAACCCTGTGAACAATAAGCTTGCTCAATTTGGGGATAACCCCCCCCCCCCCTCTCATTATCTAAAGGTCCATCCCTAATATGCTGATTGGCTCAAAAGATGTTGACAGATGTGGCTATGCTGGACATGATGTCATTACCCTAAAATTAGTTTCTTGGTGGATGAGGCTCAAACAATATGCTCAAGGGCACAAAATGTGGGGCAAGTGACTATGAAAATGTACTATGCGGCATAAGAACGCGAAAAATCTTAATTATGTTGATGCAAACATTGTATTTGTCGCGGCCCATCGCGGTCAATCGCTCACTTTCACATTCAATGAAAATAAATTAAAGTCAAGTTATATATACTTATAAGTTTATACATCTTACTTTTCATCGCCGTCGTCTTTATTACTGACAGCATGGCCATTCGTATCTTCTGGATAAAAATTGACGCCCACATTATCGACCCCTCCATTGGACGACTTGTAAAGTTCATCGTAGGATGGCGGCTGTGGCTCTTCTTCTCTCTTCCGATAAGTGCCGTTCATTTTGGTATTATGAAACAAGCTAATATTTCGAGAACGCTGTCAAATATATATATATTATCGATTGGTAAGAGTTCTTTTACTGGCGCACAGTTGAGTAGCGTTATAGGAAAACTAAATGTTCACTACGAGGATCGTATTTATCAAGGGTTAATATTTTGATTAGTCTTACATCATTTCCTGCGTACGGAGAGCAGACGGCGTTCAAAAAAAAAGCTGACTCATTCTGACTCATATAGCTTTTATGTATATTACATTTCTCTCCTATTTGCTTTGACGTAATCTCCTAATTTTAAATATATGGCGGTAAACGTATGGTTTTATTAATGTTTTAGCCTTTCATCTCCAAGTAAATCGGGTTTTATTTTTAAACTAAACTTAACAAAGCTGCGCTTGTGGCATTAATTACGAGAAAATAAACGTTTAACAAACCAAGGTCTGCATGGAATTGACCTTTTCATTACCTTATTTCTCTGCCAACCAAGAATAAATCATTAGACACAGGTCAAGTTACAGAAAATGTCGTTATTTCTGCGAGTTTTGTCCGATATTTCTTCTTCTTTCGTCGTTTCGGGCTTCGTAGTCGTCTCAGTACGTTACGAACAAACAAACAGATAGATGTCCCAGCGACCTGTGCAGCCAGGCGTCGGGATACGGCTTGCAACTTGTGGGGAAGGGGAGGGGAGGGGGTAGGTTTCTCTTTGGTCTCGCGCGAGAAAAGACGTCAAATAAATAATAAAGGCCAAAAAATATTAGAGTTCATCGGTATTTTTTGAGAATCTAACAATTTCCATTGAGCCCTGTAATAGTGGTTGGCTCAGTGATTAGATTAGGAATGTTCCGACCCCTACCGTAAGTGTGTCCGCACTGAATATCTCTAAAACACACTGTAAATTTTATCGAAAACTTACTGAGTACCCTATCGGTAGAATTAAACCCAAAACCCACCCTGGAGGGGGAGGTGAGAGACAAGGCATTGCATATAGCTATTTATAAATCGTTACCGAACGAGCTAAAGTATAACTAAACGCTTCCATATATAGACTACGCGAGACTACTTACCACAGAGGGGGGTTAGTAGTACGCGTACCATATATGGTAAGGGCCTTGGATCCCTTAGACAAGCGAATAGCGGACCTAACAGGTGAGGGGAGATACGTAACGAGCGAATAGCGGCTCCAAACTTGCTGTAGTTGTTGCTTTTACTTTGTTCCGTCTTCTGGCGAAGTTTCAGCGCGATTTGAGGCCGTTTAGTGGGTTTTTTTCAAAATCCGCTCTTCTCTCCCTAAATAATGGGAAGGCACAGCAAGCCCATACAAGCTTTGAGAGCTGAATCTAATTTAACGAAAAAAAAATTCATTGGCCGAACGTGATACCAAGCTCGAGACAAATTCCCCTTCCCCGAGAGACTTGAATTTGTTTTGGCACGACAAAAAAGCCTTTGGCCGGATACGTAATGGACTTTTCGCAACTCTTTACAATTTTCTAAATTGTACAGGTGAGCAGCACAAATGAACAAAAATTAATCTTTCCTTAGGTTTTGTAAACTTTTTTATTACTCCGACGCGTTTTATCGTAAAACAAAGTAAAAGCAAAAAACTGCAGCAAGTTTTGAGGCAAATGGTTGAGTGAAACATTTTATTGTCATGACTTTATCATAACTCCCATACATTCCCTTATAAACAGATAAACCAGACACAGGAACCTTGTTTGGGCTGCCTGTGATATGCTGTATTTTATTAGGAAAAGCGTGAATAAAAGTTTGTCGACTTATATGTTGTGTAAATTTGTAACTCCTGTATGCTGTTTCAGCGGGTTTTGAAGGGTATTTTAGAAAAAAATTCCAACACTTAGAAATATTAAATGACATATGTTGCCTTTGACCGCACCATGCTGTAATCTTTATGCCACAGGAAGCCCAAATAACAACTTAAATGGTATAGAGCTCTTGAACTTATTTTAAAGGAAAAGTTTTCTGTTTACAAGTAAAATAATCAATAGAATCTTTTTCATCTTATAAAGCCTTTTAAAAACGATTATGTCTTAAAAGGCCACAAAGAAGGAGTTGTGCAATAGCGGGGGAAGGGATGGGATAAGGGAGACCTCTCTTTCCTGGGTTTACATATTAACTTTGGTAGTACATTAAATTAGCTACTTGAGAGTGAAAAAAATGCAATATTTGGGCTTGCGGAATGACCAAGCGAGTAACAAAGTTGACAAACCAAGCCACAAAATAAAATTTTAAAAGAGGTACGAGGAAAAAGAATAAAATTAAGTTTTCAAAGATTTATAAAAATTTTAAGACCTTTTTCAATCAATTCAACCTATACCTGTGATATATATTTCATGATCAGTTTTAATTTTTCATATCAGGTAGTCTCCCTCTCACCCGTTTTTAGTGTCGGTCGTCACGCAACGCTCCCCGACACTAAAAACGGATGCGAAGGAGACTACATATCAGGAGCATAGCCAGGATTTTGCTTTGGGGTGGGGGGCAAAAAACCCATTTTCAGAACATCGATAAATAAAACTTATCTCGTGACTACAATAGGTTTTTAGGTTTCTACAGCATATGAGGATTGGAGGGGCTGGGCCCCCTTGGCCCCCCTCACTACTTCCCTGCATATAGATAGAATTAAAAATTTAAAAGAGAGATGAATTGCATGGCAAATAGCCAGTACACTTTGTGGTCTTGCAGTGACAAATTCTTGTCATATCAGGACGGGAGTTTTGGCCAATAAATTGTTTATTTTCTGATGCAGAATCTCCACCTGAATAATCAAAAGTAAGCTCAATTCCTTGTGGGATATCCTTCAGCGAAAACAATGCAAGAATAGGAATCAAAGAATCAATCCGAACTGGAATCATTACTAAATTAGGATCACAAGAATGATTGATAAACCGTCCAGCATTGCCATGATATTTGGGATCAACATGTGTGCGCAGTATTTGATTTCCACTGATGTGCTCCCTGATTACTATGATATAATTATTTCCTTTTTGTGTTAGTGTTCTTTTCTTTGCTTCGTCATAAGAGATAATTTCTCCAGCATATTCACACACAAAGTGTCCTTTCTGGATGTTATCAAGAGTTCTTAGTCCCCAATCCTTTTCACCTGTTTTGAAAACTTGTAGTCTTGTTGTTATTCCATTCTGTATAAGTCGATTACCACAGAAGAGTGAACAAGAGCAAGATGAATTGCATTCAAATACTGGTTGACTCACTCCTAATATGCAATAAGAATTAGTTTTGGGTTAGAAAAGCCACTAGGGATCCTGGGATTGACATTTTTTTATTTAATTATGATTAGTCAGGTGTTCAAAAGGGGGAAAGGGGTCATTTAGATATGTATGGGGGTCATTGAGCATTTTCAGGCTGAAGAGGGAAGACCACACAAAAGAATTTGAGTTGGACAGAGCTTTCACTATGATAAACAGAGTGGAAAATGAAGGAGGGTTTATTTCTTTATGCAACAATGGAGCAAGGGGGGGAATAGATTCCTTATAGGCTACCAAATAAATCCCACTGCCCCCCTCCCCCACCCCACCCTCCCCCTCTACAAAAAAATAATAAACAGTCCCTCATGCAGATGGCAGTGAGAAATATTAAGTTTTAAAAATATCCTGTTTGAAATACTCTCCCTATGAATAACAATACATGGCTTATAAACCTTACCATTGTTGACCTGTGTAGTACTATTAGCCATCACTAGGGTGTCATTCTTTGTTTCATAGGCAGGTCCAAATTTTCCAATACATGAACAGTTTGCATTAACACTGCATTCATCTTTACACTCACATCCTGGGTAGAGAGGTCCTTCTGGTAAAGTAACTCCTGGTCCACTTATACAGCATCTGATATACTGCAAATTAAACAATATTTAGTAAATATACACACCAATCTTTTATATACTAATGATATAATATAATAAGACTATTATAATCAAGTAATCAAAAAATCCAAAATCACAAAGTAGCTTGAAATTCAAATGAAAAACATGGTCACTCACGTGAAATTTTTGGGGTAAATCTTCGTTCGGGCCAACATCAACACAGATAGGGACGTTTTCTAAGCCATTAGAAATATCTTTAACAAGACCCTCCTCCATCCTTCTAATTATAAACAACAAGGAACAACAACTTATTAAGACGGGAACCCTTTGCTTTTACCGCTGACCAAATGTACCATTAGTTGCCAAGGTAACAAGAATCATAGAGGAAAACATGGCGGCTAAAGAAGAAAACGCGAAAGAGTATCTCAGAAAACACAGGATTATGGAACTTTTCGAAAATCTAACTGCTCATTTAGTATATGAAAGACCAGGTAAGACTCTAAGGAAATCATTTTCGGCCATTATTTGCTTCGGTTATTGTCGTTTTTATTTGAAAATGCCCATTATTTATCGCGAATTCAAGTGTTCATATGGCAAAATGTCGACGGTTGTCTTTTTCTTTTCTGTCTATTCAACCTTACGACATACGTTTTCCATTTCTAATGTACGTATTGTTTAATTTCGTCTAGACGATCTCAAAGGATATATTTGTAATTATCTGGAGAAGCTGAAGACAGCACGGACAGTCCAGAGAGGTTATCCGTGTTTGTTTGATGATAGCAATATAAGATCTCTGTTTGGTATGTTGGACGTTACTGGAAAAGGCCATATTAACTACGACCAGTACAAAGAAGGTAAAAGGGGTGGGACTTCATATGGGACTTCACTCGTACCTTACTGTACATCGAGACTGCTATTAGCACCCACTACCTCCATTCTCCCCCCCCCCCCCCCCCCCCCCCCCCCCCCCCCCCCAAGGTTTCTGGACATTGAGATATGTCCATGTCCATGATCTGGGAATAAGTTGTCTCAGCTCCCACGGGAAAGGTCACGAAAGAAAGACTCCCAGAAAAGACGTAAATGATGACATCAAAAAAATGCCAACTTTTACTAAGGGGAGGGGGGTGGGAGACAAAAAGTCACTCAATTGATATATTCTGTGTCTTTTTGGATCTTTGTGGCTGGTTTTGGGTCGTTGTGTGGCTGGTTCAGTGGGTCATTGTGGCTCGTTGTCGCTCGTTGTGGCTCGTTCCGGGTTTTAGTAACTACTAGCGTCTGTTATGTTAACCGCAAGTGTGACATAACAGATGCTACAAAGTGGACAAGTTTTTTACATCACATGCCAGAAGTGCAGTCAAGTTCTTATCACAAATGGAATAGGAAGTGTATGTAATGGGGTAAGATAGGGTAAGAGTGTTTAGATGTATAAAGATGTTTATTATTCTTTATCCAGGACTTAGTACTTTTGGGATTGACTCTTTTGACAAAGACCCTCCTGGTGCTGATGTTGATAAAATCAATAGTGAAACTTTTACCAAAGAAGCGTAAGTACCATAATTTATGAGTTTGAAAACATGTATCACTCACCGGTCATGATTACCAGCCAAATTAGTTTTAGTTTAGTCATACCTTATTTCTGGCTAAGTGTTAATGGTCAAAATGACCGGCAAGGCAAAGATTGTTCGATATCCAACCATTATTTTTAGCATTGTACATATCTTTAGCTCGGCGTAATGTTTTCTTATATCAGACCACATGTTATCCTCTTGAGAATAAGATTCTTTGATTGAGTCACATCCATAATTCATGGCTTAAACCATGAGACAAAGTAATAATACTCAAGAGAGTGACACCTGGTCTGAGAAAGAAACATTACCGGTACACCCAAGCTAAGTTGTCTATTTATGATATGAGGCATTTATGGAGTTTTTGTTCACATTAACAGGAGACAAGGTCTTACTGATGCATCTTCAACTTTCTTGTTATGATTTAACGCCTTCCTATGTTACCATCAAAGCATTACATAGTTTAAATCTTTGGCGCAAGACATCAGAGATAATAATTTCATAGCAGAACTTAGTTTTAAAATGCCAGTTTTATTTGAATAATAATATTTCCACCTTGTAACATAGAGCATTGTACAGCACACTTTTATCATGTCACACTAAAACTATAAATCTCAATAAATCCACATTGTGAGCAGATTATGTAATATATATATATCTTTTGTAATATTCCTAGCTAATAAATTATCAATCACATTCAAAGGGCATTTATTTTCCATTTGCCATTTGCTTTTCATTTGGTCATCATTCATTTTTTCTCCATTCATTCATCCATCATTATTCATGTGTTTGATATACTGAGTGATTCAGTGGATTATGACTTCACAATTCTAACACCTTTCCTGTAGAGTATAAATCTATTAAGAGTATCTATTTGTTATTAAACTTAGGCTTAACAATAAATAGAATATTTTGTTGTTTACTTAATATACATTATAGAATAATATTATTTGACCTTAATTTGTGACTATACATTGTAGTTATATGTCATGTTTCTTTGTGCAGGTAAGTTCTTCTTTAACAATAACACAGTTTGTATTTAAAATTATATCAATAGAATAGTTTTCTTATGAGTGGGAAACAATACGACAAGCTCATAACCATGCTATAGGTTTAATATATTTTACTGTAGCCATAACTAAGCATTGTGGATGGATAAATTAGTAAGACAATTGGAATCCATTAGAACAGTTTATACTATGTCTGTTCTCAGGACTTTTTTCACTCAATTTATTCTTTCAATCTGCTGTTCAATGGACAAATTCATTTATTATTAGCATCTTATGTTTTCCACTTATGAAAACTGCTTTATGTAGGAATACTTCCTCAAATTTTTGATATTCTTATCTCAATTTTGATTAATGATCATTAATTATTATATGACCGTGAATCTTAGAGCCTGGACACTAGCAAATCCAGCAATCTGATTGGATAGATCGCGTCACGGACTGGTCTAAATTCTCCGGTATTAACCGATCCGTTCGCATATTAATCTTACGGCCAAAACATTTTGTCCTTTTCAATGAAAAGTGGTCATATAATAAAACTCTTATCAACCGAGCTTGGTCGGTCTGTACGGGATAATCTTGACCTCGGTCGGGTACAGACCTCGGTCAAGATTATCCCGTACAGACCTCTGATTGGATAGATCGCATCACGGACTGGTCTAAATTCTCCGGTATTAACCGGTCCGATCGCATATTAATCTTACGGCSAAAACATTTTGTCCTTTTCAATGAAAAGTGGTCATATAATAAAACTCTTATCAACCGAGCTTGGTCGGTCTGTACGGGATAATCTTGACCTCRGTCGGGTACAGACCTCGGTCAAGATTATCCCGTACAGACCTCCTGCTTGATTAATAAGATCTAATTATTAAAGTAGAGCTTAAGTGCACCCAAACAATATTTTGAATGTGTGGTTTGTGATCATTCATGAAATATTGTGTTGGCTATCAGACACCTCCTGCAATATTTTAGATGCTTATAATTTACTTATACAACCCTTTTATTACATCCCATTTTCCCTCGTTTCCTTTTCTTTACTTTAGTTAAATGACATTTCTTTGGATAGATTTCATGTACTGTTAAAGACGTTCATGGGCAAAAGATTTCATCATCCAGATTTTTTACAAACTTTATATGATGAAAGTATATCATACTAGTGGTAAAATATGGGAATAAGAAATTGGGGTTACCAACTTCTTTAAGCTGACAGATTGCATGGACGTTCGTGCTTGTAATGGAAAGTTATCACAAAAAGTCATCTTACTGAAAAATAATTTGATTGCTCCCGTTTTTCACAGTCCTCTAGAAAATGACCACTTCATTGCAAAATTATAATTACTTTGCATTTAAACATTGAACATTGAATATTAGAAATGTAAAATTTCATTAGGCTACATTATCTTGCTGTTTTGCTCCACAGGAAGTGAAAAGGATAAGTTGTCGTATTCAGCTACAAGAACAGAATCCCAATTTTTAAATGCTCAAAATATGTGATTACGTTTTGATCTTCAGATTTTTAGCTAGTAATCATAAAGTTTTTATTTTTTCAATATTAAAGACTAAAATAACATCACAACGAGAACTCATTTGTAAAATAGATGCGTGTGAGCAATGCCCATAAACGTCCTTAAGCAGAAAATCCTTGTTTAAGTAAGAGTGGAATGGCTTCCACTCATAACCAATAAAACTACAATAAGCACTTGATAAATTAAGCACACACAAACATTGCCCTATCACTATGACTTGTGTACATTACTCACTTTAAGTTTAGTCTTACTTTTTAAATTTACATTCTTAAATATATTTTTCTTTGAAAAGTGTTAATAGAACCCTTAACAGCTACTCTTAGCAAAATTGTGTGAGTTGTTTGAGAAATAATACCAGTCTTGTGGTTTTTTTTTTAGAATCCTCAGTCAATCAGTTCATGCCCTTGTTGTACATATAGTCTTGACATTAACATGTAATGTTTTGGCAGCCATACCGTTTGATTTTGACCCATATACAACCTTTTCCAGCTACATAGGCCTTACAGTACAATTGCCAGTAATGACTACAGACAACCCCTCCACAGGCTGCTCGGCGAAAAGAAGGGCTTCTTCCTAAAAATTTTAAAAAATATATTAAGCTTTGGCTGTTGTGTCACAGTGTGGGACAATCACAACAGAGCTACAATTAGGCCTCAAACTAGGTGAAAGCCCATAGAGAAAATTAGAATTTAGAAGTTGATTTTTGAGGAGGGAGGAAAACCAGAGAACGTGGAGAAAAACCCTTGAAGCACAGGAGAGAACCAACAAAAACCTCTGCTCACTTATGACACCAAGCTCTGCAGGACTCGAACCCGGATCACATTGGTGAGAGGTAACACATTAGCAGCCCATGTTATACCCATGCTAATAGTAAAAATGGAATAAATCTCATCCACCATTTGGGTGTAAAATTTTCCCATTTCAGACCTTATGTCATTTCTCTTTGGAATAAGATTCTGAATGTAACAAAATTATGTCCAAGCTAAAGAGCTTTTGTCCAAATACTGACAATCTCTTTCAAAAAATATATACTGAACTTAAATGGCTGCTACACTGAAAGAGGTCCATTTTTTTCATCACCAGGGGGACCAATTCAGATAAAAGTGAAAGATGAAATACGATCAGGAGGAGGGGGGGGAATTTTTTTTTTAATTTTCTTATTTTTTTTGTCTATGATCCTATTTCGTTATTTGAATATATACTTAACCTTTCAGATACATGCCATTTAAACATACAGTATTAGGTTTAAGTACCTTGTCTTTTAAGTCCTTGGAGATAGAGCTGACCACTTGTCCTAAAGATTTCATAGACTGGAATGTTGGAGCATAGGTTATTCATTTCGTTGCTTAGAATATTTCGATTTAAGACCACATCCTTTACTTTCCATGATGACTTCTCAGAGATGTCTATGTTGATGGTATTGTTGGTTCCATTGAAAGCAATGACCTTTGACAAACAAAACTATCAGTGTTTAACAAAACTCCTAGATTATGTGCATTTGACTCATGCGCAACTGAATAGAAGACAAGTGTGTAACTCTGCACTAGCACACAACATACGCAACATCATTATCCATTCCTTTCTAACACAGACAGTTGACTCGTGCGCATAGAGGAACAAGACCTGCGCACCATTTCTCTCTATTACACAGACAGTTGACTCGTGCGCAGCGTCCTTAGAGGAACAAGACCTGCGCACCATTTCTCTCTATTACTCAGATAGTTGACTCGTGCACATAGAGGAACAAGACCTGCGCGCCATTCCTCTCTATTACACAGACAGTTGACTCGTGCACATAGAGGAACAAGACCTGCG